TTAAATATTTTTACAGCTAAGGTTTATTTTCTGGCCTAAGTAAAAAAGATCAGCATCATTTAATTGTAAAGCAGATGTAAAGATATATTTTTTAAAATATATACTCACAAGCATACATACATACCGTGTGTGTGTGTTTGTTATATGAATAGAGAAAATGAGACACAGAGAGGAAGAAAAAAATGCAAGAGAGAGTGACAGCCAGGGTAAGAATAGATAGAAATGGTTGAAATTAGCCAATGTGACTTAACATTGGGGAATTCAAATGAGGTTTATGGGAAAAGTAGTAGAATAACTTTAACACTCTGTGCCAGGCTCAGACCTGGAACCAGGATACTCATGAATAAGACACGGCCTGCCCTCAGGTAGCTCGTTGTCTAGTTGGGGGAGAAGACTTGTACATACGTAACTTGTAACACAGTAAAATAAGTGCAGTTATAAAATGAAAGCAGCGTTCAGTGTGGGTATAGTATGTATTTGTGGGAGAGGGGCTTCAGAAGAAGACTTCATGCAGGAATTGGTGCTTGAGCTGAGTCTTGAAGGGCGGGTGGGATGTGATCAGGTGGGCATGGGTTGGAAAAGGAGTGAGGGTGGTAGGAGAAGGACTTCATTCCAGGAGCTCAGATGCTCAGAGGCATGAGATACAGTGGCTAATAGGGGTCTCGTCAGAGATATTTGTTTGAGGAATGCACACGTCGCGAGGGGACTTGCAAATATGTCAAAGCTTGGTTTGCAACAGAGACCTGATGATGGAGGGTTTATTTGGACTTTATTGCAGGAGAGTAATGTGATGAGAACTGTATAACAGTGGGTTAGACAGTAGATTGGTGGAAAAAGCACTGGAGGCTGAGATGGTGATTAGGAGGCCGTTGTTCAGAACAGAAAAGATCTGGAGGAGGTAAACTGAGGCAGTGGTAGTTCACACGGTGGGAGGTTGGTAATTGAGGCAGTGGGAGTGATAAAGAGCGTGAGGTATGGTTTGATGGGGGGAGATCAGGGAAAAGAGGCCTCTGAGGTTGTGGTCTCACCCAGAGTATGTGGAATGAAACATAAGGTATGGAAAGGAAATGCTAGAACAGGTAAATATGTTTAGTTTCACCTATGTAAGTAAAGGAAAACCATTATATTTTGCTAACGATTATGCTTTGAATCGTTAGTAGTTTAGGTATTTCATTTTTAAAATGATTATGCTTATACTGGAGGTCGATTCTCAGAAGTTTTTCACTGATAGGAGTCTGATCAGAAATGATTGGAGGGGCTTCCCTGGTGGCGCAGTGGTTAAGAATCCGCCTGCCTATGCAGGGGACACAGGTTCGAGCCCTGGTCAGGAAGATCCCACATGCCATGGAGCAGCTAAGCCCCTGCACCACAGCTACTGAGCCCGCGAGCCACAACTACTGAAGACTGCGCGCCTAGAGCCCGTGCTCCGCGACAAGAGAAGCCACCGCAATGAGAAGCCTGTGCACTGCAGCAAAGAGTAGCCCCCCCTCACCGCAGCTAGAGAAAAGCTCGCGTGCAGCAACGAAGACCCAACGCAGCCAAAAATAAATAAATTAAATAAATTAAAAAAAAAAAAGATTGGAGACCAGGGAAGTCCCTGGCGGTCCAGGGGTTAAGACTCAGTGCTTTCATGGCCGTGGCCCAGGTTCAATCCCTGGTCAGGGCACTAAGATCCCACAAGCTACGTGGTGCGGCCAAATTAATTAATTAATTATTTTAAATGATTGGAGACCAAAGGCGGCTTTAAGGCCGTGGTTTCCAAACTTTATATTCCTGGAACCCTTTACACTCTTTAATTTAGGACCCCAAGGAACTTTTAATTATGTGGAATTACTTATTTATATTTATTCTGTTAAAATTTACTGTATTAAAAGGTGAGAAATTTAAAAATATTTGTTTAGTAATTCATTTAAAGATAATAATAACAAAGTCAGTACATGTTAGCATAAATAACATACTTATTATGAAAAACAATTCTATTTTCCAAAAGAAAAAGTTTAGTGAGAAGGACAGCCTTGTTTTACATTTTTGCAAATCTCCTTAACGCCTGGCTTCATGGAAGACATCTGGATTCTCATGTCTTCTCTGTACTCAGTCTATTGCAATGTGCTTTTTTGGTTGAAGTTTATGGAGGAAATCTGGTCTCACACAAAGGAAAAGGGAGGGGTTTTCAATAGTCTTTTCAGGTAACTGTAGAAACTCTTCTTTGATACTATCCCAAAACTTGATGTATGATAGTTTTCCAAGGGTTAATTGCAATATGGAACCTGAAACCACATGAATATACTTTTCGTGCTCTGTAATATTAAATCGATTTGTTTATTCTGTACTTTGAATAGGTCAGCATTCAAGTCTGATTTTGTAACATCATGAATTGGTTATGTGAAAAATATTGGTTCTCTGAGTTATGCAAGAACTTTAAAATGTTGACACATTTTATTAAACAACAGCTAAAATCACTTTTGTTAGTATCACCAATAGGCTTATCAGAAAATCTTTATGTGTTGGCAATCTGTCAAATCATGGTGTTGGATAAAAGTTTCCAAAAATTCTAATTTTTGCTGGAAAGCTCAAATTTTATCATTGGTAACAGTTATTGTCAGTTATTTTCCTTGTTTGTTTTCAAGAAAATGTCTGCCAAATACTGAAGTCTGAGTAACCATAGTTTGTGTCTGTCAGACATTCTTTCAAATACATACAGGGTTACATGAAAAAAGTGGCTACTTTAGCTGGCTACTAAAGCAATTGCATACGTGCTTTTTCTCGGCAACAATTGTAATTCAGATGAAGCATTTTTTTAAAATTTGTTTGCTTTTACTGTGAGTGGTGACGAAACATATAAGGTATGAAGTTGGATACCAATATCTTGATTTATACTAAGGCTCTTGAAGTTTTTCTCACCATGTCTTTTGCACCAATAGCATAAATGTAAACACAGTGAAAAAAGCAGGAAACATGTCAGTATCGTGAAAATAGTTTTGACTTCATGGACTCCATTGAAAGACCTTGAGGACCATCTTTTTAATAACTGGTGGTTTAAGGTCATCCTAATACAGATGTGGGAAAGCATGATGTCACCTTCTGCTTTTTGAAAAGTTTAGAGAAAAAGCATTTCAAATTTCTGCTACTTAAAAAAGAAAATGAGATGATCTTATCTGAAACCCATGGCCTTGAAATAGTTTTTAAAAATTTCTTTCTTTTTAGTCTAAGGTAAAATGTTTAAAAGTTACTGTTTTAACTTTTCTAGCATTGGCATTTAGTAATCAGAAATGCCTTTTTTTTTTTTTCTTGTCCCTAATGCCTACCATTTGACAGAGCCCTGACAACCAAATCACACAAAAGTAAATTCATTCCCTCTCCAAAGGCTTTCCGAAATACAGTTTTAGTTAAGGGTGACATATTTTGGCTTCACAAAATTGATCGTTCAGGAACAGGTCTTATTTCATCGAAGTATATTATATGTAATAATGATAAATGTATAAATCAATCCAACTCGTGTTTTAATGAGATAGTCTCTCCCCTTAAATCATACAAGTGTGCTATATTTTAAAAGGTTTATTTAAAGTATAATTATTTTCATCTATCTCATTTCTTTAAGAATACTTTTTTTTTTTTTTTTTTCGGCACGCGGGCCTCTCACTGTTGTGGCCTCTCCTGTTGCCGAGCACAGGCTCCGGACGCGCAGGCTCAGCGGCCATGGCTCACGGGCCCAGCCGCTCTGCAGCATGTGGGATCCTCCCGGACCGGGGCACGAACCTGCGTACCCTGCATCGGCAGGCGGACTCTCACAGGGAAGCCAAGAATTTTTTTTTTTTTTTTTTTTTTGGACCAAGGATACTTTTTAATGCAATCACAGATGATCATCTGGGTCCTGCGTTAAATGCTAATTTCCTAAAATGTTTATGCGTTGTATTTGTTAAACCCATGTATTCTTTCTAATCATAGTCCAGGTCGCAATTTGAAAGTAATGAAAATGACCTTAATAACTCACCTAATGAGTCATAGTTAAAATTAGTTTTTAGACGACGGGCTTTTGTGTTGTTTATAGGGTGATCCCCAAGAACAGACGATGTTGCAGAAGAAAGGCAAATGTTATGAGTTAGAAGCCAGAGGAAATTTTTATGAAAAACAAAACTGGGGTTGTTAGATACTTAATAGGGAGAAAAAGATTAAGCCAACAAACAAGAGCCTTAAATATTGCCCTGTGGTCTCAAGAAAGGGATAGTGAGTTGTAAGGGTTTTTTTTTTCTAACTGTAAAAGAATTTCAAATTTACAGAAAAGTGGAGAATAGTATAGCAAGCAACCATATGGTCACCACTTAAATGTAACCGTTGTTAATATTTTATTGCATTTTCTTCCTCTTTTTTTTTTTGCAAAGATATTTTAAAGACATGACATTTTACTCCTAAATGAGGTAGTTTGCATCTCTAAAAGATAAAAACTTACAAATATACATTTTACGATGATGGGGTGATCTGAGAGCGCCAGAGGGCCTTTGTTTTGCAGACTGGGGTGTACCAGGCTATGAAGTCTAGCAAAATACCTTGGCATGATGAAGGGGATTTTATAAAATTGTTTAGAGGACCTAGAGGAGGAAGAACACTGAACCAAGGGTAAAGGTGTGGAAGAGAGACAGAGATATTTTAATGGGCAAGTTTGATTAAATTTTGCTATTTGGTGTGTGATTTAACCATTTTCTCTATCTCTCCATAATGTCTTGATTTAAATTTACATTATTCATTCATGCTTTAGAAATTGGATTATTTTTTTGACTTGGCCCTGACGTTAGGGTGGGTGTGGAGTGAAAACCAAGGCTGCCCAATGTGTTCATTGGAACTGCACAACTAACATCAGAGGGATCTAGGAACCCATACTTTGAAGAGTTTTAGCCAGTTAGTAACAGAATGTCCTATTAGAGTTATTTAATTACACCTCTTTTTCTTCTTGCATTGAAGTAATACTGTCTGGCTTAATTTGTGCAATGTCTTCTTGTGTTTAGGTCTCGGATGTGGTTTATTATACACTGCAACAGTGACCATTACGTGCCAGTATTTCGACAGCCGCCGAGGCCTTGCACTTGGCCTGATTTCAACAGGTACATTTTCAATATAAGTACAGCATCGCTACTCTTCAGCCTTCTAATCAAAGTTAGAAGTTACGAAGCACAGATATGTTTAACCAACCATGCCCCCGCTGCCATTCAGGTAGCCCAATTTATTTTACTCTAGTCCTAGAAGGACATTTTATTTTCCCCTGTAAATATGGGTGTAGCTTTCAAAAAACCCTGAAGATACATGTATGAAAAAGCTGGGGCATTAGATGTCCAGTATAATATAGGAAAAGAAAACTTATGGGTCCAGTAAATTGAGAGTCACATGCTGGTGAGAGCCTTGCTGAAAGAAGCAGAGAGCACTTAAGTAAAGCACCTGATCCCTGGGAAAGAGAGGAGAAATGGAAGGAAAATGGGTCCCTTCAGGCCACTGTCAGGAAGAACAATGCTGACACCTCTCCAGCTCCATTTATTGTGGAACTTAGGGTTTTTCCAAAGTACTGGTTTGTGAATACATCTCGTTGGTCTATTTGCATATCCAAACAACAGACTGTTTACTCTTGTTATTCTTTTAATAATCAAGAGATGAATCACTGGTGATGGGGGGGGAGCGGCTCTGTGTGTGTGTGTGTGTGTGTGTGTGTGTGTGTGTGTGTGTGTGTGTAAGTGTGTAAGTGTAAAAGCCTTCTGGACTTGCTCTGATATTGTAAAGTGGTGTTTTACTTTTCAGATGGATTTTTTTCTAAGCTATTTAGAGAACTTATCAAAATTTCTGTGGCCAACGCTTTAGGAGTTTGCTTAAGAGATAAAGCTACCAGGCTTACTAAAACTTGTATCTAAGTTTACATTGCTACTTGTTCGTGGGTAGATATTCCTGGGAGGTCAGACTTTCAGATAAACTGAATCTGGCAGCGGGATCCAAACTAATGTTTTGTTCCTGAGGGCAATGCAGTGGCAACAAAGTGCTTCCAGATCAAATTAAATCGAGCTGGATATTTACCCAAGGTGGTTTAAGGAAGCATTGCCAGGAAAGAAATGTGAATCATGGCCTAGGAGGAAACAGGACCAGAGTCTGAGGGCATGGCTAAGGCAGAACTGGGAGAAGAAAGAGAAAAACCAAAAGATGGAGAATCCAGAGCAGTTGGAAGGCAGTTGAAAGAACCTGACAGCCGCATAGCACAGGGAGATCAGCTTGGTGCTTTGTGACCGCCTGGAGGGGTGGGATAGGGAGGGTGGGAGGGTGGAGACTCAAGAGGGAAGAGATATGGGAACATATGCATATGTATAACTGATTGACTTTGTTATAAAGCAGAAACTAACACACCATTGTAAAGCAATTATACTCCAATAAAGAAGTAAAAAATAATAATAATAATACAAAAATAAAGAACCTGACAGCATCTCCCACAAGTGTGGGAGGGAGTGTGAGAGCAGGCCTGGCAGCTTAAAGGATAACAGGTCTTACCTATACTGTATTTTTTGTAGAGGCACTGTAACGTAGTGACAAGCCCAGACCCTGGAGCCAGTCTGCTTGGTTTTGAATCACGTGTCACTCAGTAGCTGTCTGGTGATGGACAAGTTACCTGTTCTGTGAAATTAACTGTTAAGCCTCAGTTTTCTGAACTGTAAAATGGGGATAATAATAGCACCCATCTGTTGGGCTGCACCCTGTAAGGCCTGTGCTTGCCCAGCTTCAAGACAGAAGAAAGAGCCTGGAGTCAGCGACAGAGACATCAGTGGTTTAATGGAAGGGGAGAGCTTACAAATCCAAAGCAAGATCCTGGAGTGATGCCCCACCGTGTGTGATAGAGGGTGGGCAAGACTGGATGTGGGTTTTCGCTCCCGGGGTGGGGAGGGGAGATTGCCAGTTTATAGAGGCATTAACATCAGGTTGGCTCATTGGTTACCGGGAAACTAGCAGAGAGGCACACACCTCCCCACCCCTTGGATAAGAGCAATCACCAGGTGGGGCCTGGGGCCAGTATATAGGAAGGTCAGTCATACGAGTAGGTGTAGGTAAAGCAGGCACTGGTCAAACAGGGGATGTACAGAGAGCAAGAGAACAGCCATCTTGGGTGGCCTGACCATACACCATCACATTGGGTTATTGGGAATATTAAAGGAACATATGTGTAAGGCACATGGCAGGGGCTCTAAAAGTGTTAGTCATTATAATTATGACCTAGGTTTCCTTTAACGTCCGAATTTATTTGTGATGAAGATGTTGGAAATTGTATGCTGAGAGAGCTGCTCTTGCTTTCACTCAGTCTAAAGAGGAAAGCATAAGAGACTGAGCTGTGGCACACTGAACCAAAATGGATTGACTGTGGACAATCTAGATTTGGCAGAATTGGGGAGTTTTTAGTTGTAGCACATAGGAAGTTAGATGAAGCAAAATTAAGGAGCAGCATGAATCCACTGTCTTTGTCTATTCAGGCTGCTGTAAAGTAGCATAGATTGAGTGGCTTATACACAACAGAAATTTATTTCTCTCAGTTCTGGAGGCTGGAAGTCTGAGATCAGGGTGTCAAGGTCAGCGTGGTTAGATTCTGCTGAGAGCCCTCTGCTGGGTTACAGACTGCCACCCTCTCCCTTTGTCCTCATGTGGACATGAGGAAAAGGAAGCTCTCTGAGGTTCTCTTTTATAATGGCACTAATCCCATTCAGGAGGGTTCTACCCTATGACCTAATCACCTCTCAAAGGAGAAACCTCCTAATTCCATCACACTGGGGGTTAAGATTTCAATTTACAAATTTTGGAGAGACACAAACCTTCACACTGTAGTATCCATCTTCAGTGAAAGTGGTGACAAGAAAAACAAAACTCACAGTAGAGTTTTTCTTTAATGGAAAAAAAACCCAAAAGCAAAATATAGTTGAAATAATGTAACCTAGGACTTCCCTGGCGGTCCAGGGGTTAAGACTTAGCCTTCCAGTGCAGGGGGTGCGGGTTCGATCCCTGGTTGGGGAGCTAAGATCCCACAGGCCTCGAGGCAAAAAAACCAAAGCATAAAGCAGAAGCAGTATTGTAACAAATTCAATAAAGACTTAAAAAATGGTCCGTGTCAAGAAAAAATCTAAAAAAAAAAAGAAAGAAATAATGAGACCTAGTTGAAATATTGTGATCCAGTTGAAAGAAAGAAACACGGGCATGAAATGGAGGTTTTGGGGAAACGATCTTAATCCCTGGTGAACAGGGATTGATAAACTAATGCCCATGGACCAAAACTGGCCTATTACCTGTTTTTGGACAGCTCGTGAGCTAAAAATGGTTTTTACATTTTTGTTTCGTTGAAAAAAAATCGAAAGAAGAATATTTCATGGCACATGAAAATTAGGTAAAATTAAAGTTTCAGTGTCCATAAATAAAGCTTTATTGAAACACAACCATATTCATTCCTTCATGATTCTTCTCTGGTTGCTTTCACGCTTCAAGGGCTGGGTTGAGCGTTTGTGACAGAGGTTGTATGGCTCACTATGCCTTAATTATTTACTCTCTAGCCCCTTATAGAAAAAGTCTGTTGACCCCTGGTCTTAGTCAAAGCATGAGTGTATCTCCTGTTGTTTCAGGTTCCCTGAACATCAATTCATATTTTCCCTCTTTGTGATAATGTATACTTTAGGCATGCATGGAAGCATAACTAGTGTTTTATTTCACTTTTTCCTTTACAGTGTTGCTTTTTAAATTGGGATTTTATTTTTGAAGATTAAAAATTATGGTTTTACAGTTTACACAGTTCCACAAGAGAGCTCTAATTACTCTTCACTGCCCTGAAAGAATCCTGCATCTTTTTTTTTCTCTTCTTTTTGGCCAAGCATCGTGGCTTGTGGGATCTTAGTTCCCCCACCAGGGATCGAACCTGGGCCCTCTTCAGTGAGAGTGCGGAGTCCTAACCCCTGGCCCACCAGGGAATTCCCTCCTGCGTCGTTCTAAGCCATAACTACATTCGCATGGGCTGTAGGCTAAAGAAACTTGTGTCCAAAGTGGAATTTTATTTTGCTGCCCTGTCGTACACTTAGCATATCATAGGTGTTTGATAAAACCTATTGAATTGATTTTATATGTTTCCCTTATATTTCATGATGTTGACAGATAAAGTTAGTTGGTGAGCAAAGGGGAATTATTTATTTTCTCAACTTAAGGTCAAAATACAGAACTTTCAAAATACCAAGAATATTTTTAAGTGTCTAATTATATGACACTTTCTTAGAACTTCTGCAAAGAAATGGTGTTAGAGAAAAATATGAATTAATAATGAATGGATGCTAATGCAGTATGGAATTATATGAAATGTCCCCTTTTCAATTCTTTCAGTTCGTTTTCTGAAATGCTTTCAACTTTTGAAGTATGTGCCACTTTTAAAAAGATAAGGCAGAATTCAATTCGTCTACTTTTATAACTTCTCAGTAGTCAGCAAAGAGATACTTACTTGGTAGCCACAAAAAGATACTATTTTAGCTGTCAGCGAAGTTTTTTTTTTCTTTGGGGATGAAGGAGTTAACTTTAAATATATTAGGAAGGGACAACTGTGGTACCAAAAAAAAAAAAGTTTTCTTATAACTCTAAGACAAAGCCATTTGGTTATTTGTAAGAATTTTTGATGGGTTTTTACCATAAGCTTGGCATCCTATTGGGGTTTTGATATAATTTGGTATAGACCGTTTAAAAAGTATGATCAACCTATTTAGACTATTTTTTTTTTTTTACTACAGATCTACTTATTTCTTTCCTGTGTTTTCACGTGACATTTCTCAATGGTATTTAAATTTTAAAACAATCAAAAACTTGAAATCAGAGCCATATAAGAACACTGCAAATTAATTGGGCTAATGTAACTTTCCATTCCAGTGTGGTTAGTGTGATCTATGCTTAAAAAATAGAGTTTTTACAGTGTTGCCCAAATGTGCAAACCAGGCATATTTTGTAATTTTAATACCCTATCAGAGTTCACTTTACTCTTTTCATAGTTTATTAATATCAAGCATCCATTCTGGTGGTTAGCAATGGATTTGAGCTATCAAACCACTATAAATATCCTAAAACTAAAATATATCCTTCATCTCAAAAAATAAAACGTGAGAACTTTTCTTTTCCAAAAGGAATGCATACATAACATGGAGCCAGAAAAGTACTTTTTTGGTACTTTTTTAAGTACCCAAAAAGGAGTTGCATAGGTATTTGTTAAGGACGTTGGGCTCCTGGTGTCAGACTGAGTGTGAATCCTTCTTATGGCATTTACAGCTCTCTGATGTGTGGCAAATTTCTCAAACTTTCTAGCCCTAGGTCACTTCAAGTGTAGACTGGGAATAATAATAGGACCTACCCAATAGGGTCATTGTAAGGATGAAACAAGATGGTGCAGTGTAATGTGTTTAACAGTGGTGTCTGACATACAAATGCGAATTCTTAAAATAAATTGTCACTGTTGTTGTTGTCTTCAGCATTCTTGCTGTGGTTTTAATATGAAGGCACACACATGAATGCCAGTGTAAAAAAAGAAATCAAATTGTAATACTAATAATGCTTGTCCTGAGAGCCCCAAATGATAAGAGATTAAACAGTTACCATTTCCTTTTTAGGTTCAAGCATTGGACTTTTTATATATGCTGCTCTGCAGAGACTGCTGATTGAGTTCTATGGACTGGATGGATGCCTGCTGATTGTAGGTGCTTTAGCTTTAAATATATTAGCCTGTGGCAGTCTAATGAGACCCCTTCAGTCCTCTGATTGCACTTTGCCTGAAAAAATAGCTCTGGAAAATGTACCAGGTAGATACTCGATTTACAGTGAAAAAGAAAAGAACCTGGAAGAAAACATAAACATTCTTGAAAAGACCTACCGTGGTGAGGAAACATGTAAGAGCACTTTAGCCAGTGGTGGCTGGAAACCAGAGGGTCTCCTTCATAAAAACCCAACAACAATGGCACACACAAAAGAGACTGAAACGTACAAAAAGAAAGTTGCAGAACGGAGGTATTTTTGCAAACAGCTTGCCAAGAGGAAATGGCAGTTATATAAAAACTACTGTGAAGAAACTGTGGCTCTTTTTAAAAACAAAGTATTTTCAGCACTCTTCATCGCCATCTTTCTTTTTGACATCGGAGGGTTTCCACCTTCATTACTTATGGAAGATGTAGCAAGAAGTTCAAATGTGAAAGAAGAGGAGTTTCCTATGCCACTTATTTCCATTATTGGCATTATGACAGCAGTTGGTAAACTCATTTTAGGGATACTGGCTGACTTCAAGTGGATTAATACCTTATATCTTTACGTAGCTACCTTAATAATTATGAGCCTGGCCTTGTGTGCAATTCCATTTGCCAAAAGTTATGTCACGTTGGCACTACTTTCTGGGATCCTAGGGTTTCTAACTGGTAATTGGTCCATCTTTCCTTATGTGACCACGAAGACTGTGGGAATTGAAAAATTAGCCCATGCCTACGGGATCTTAATGTTCTTTGCTGGACTTGGAAATAGCCTTGGACCACCAATTGTTGGTAAGATATTCATCTTAAAGTCAATCCACTTTACTGTTCTTCTTTGTAACATCTCTGGATACAGAAATTCATAGTGTAATAATAGCACAGATTTATACGACATAAATCTGCGTGGAATGTCTCCTGATCGTGATTTATTCAAAATCACTTTGATGTAGTTGGAAAAGCCAGTACACTTGCTCAGGAATTTGTGTTTATTCTTCATCTGGGAGTAACCCAAAATGCCTGCTGATTCTTGTCCAACTGTTTGAGAAATTCTCCCCCTCTAACTCCCATTAGGCCCCTTTGGGAGTAGATTGGGTAATACATATCCTAATCTGCACTGTACATAAATTTCTTTAATTAATTTTGTTTTGGAGTATAGTTGGTTTACAATGTTGTGTTAGTTTCTGCTGTACAGCAAAGTGAGTCAGTTATACATACACATATATCCACTCTTTTTTAGATTCTATTCCCATATATATAGATCATTACAGAGCACTGAGTAGAGTTCCCTGTGCTATTCAGTAGGTCTTTATTAGTTATCTATTCTATATATAGTGGTGTGTATATGTCAATCCCGTGAACTGTATATAAATTGATGAAATTAGAGTACTCCTATTCATACTATGTCTATCAAACTCACTTTTTTCTTCCTCTCTTTTCAGGTTGGTTTTATGACTGGACCCACGCCTATGACATTGCATTTTATTTTAGTGGCTTCTGCGTCCTGCTGGGAGGTTTTATTCTGCTGCTGGCAGCCTTGCCTTCCTGGGATACATGCAACAAGCAGCTCCCCAAGCCAGCTCCAACAACCTTTTTGTACAAAGTTGCCTCTGATTCCTCTAATGTTTAGAGGAATATTGGAAGGCACTGAAGACTGTTTTCTCATAGCAAAATTGCACTGTGGCTGATCTGAATGAATTTTTTTTTTTTTTTTTTTTTACATATCCTATTCTCTGTGTACTGTATATGTAGCCTCTATCTCCTCTATTTTTTTTTTTTCTCTTTTTGCCTTTTTCCAAGAAGTGGGACTATTCTGTTTTACTATTATTCATGAGTTCTGGACATTGTGATCATTTTGGCCAGCCTCAGAAGGCTTTCTCTGTGTAAAGAAATATGATTTCTCTGCAGACTCCATTAGTTCCATTGCAAGGCAGCCAGAGGAGACTCTAGCTATTTCAAAACTGGTGCAAGCAGCGTGACGAGATATGTGTGTAGCCTGCCAGGGACTAAATCACTCTCTTCTCTCTGCTAGCCTCGCTAGTAAATAGAAGACTTCGAGCCAGTCAGGAAATGAAAGGGGTTCCTAAAACAGCGTTAAGAATTGCGGTGGCACAAAATTGATCATTTTTTAAAAGTGACATTTTAAACTACCGTCACCAGTTTTCATTACAGTAAGTCCCCTACCTGTGAACCTTCAAGTTGCGAACTTTCAAAGATATGAAGTGCGTTCGCATGTCTAATCACGTAAGTTAGTTCACGTGTCTGGCGTAGATTGTCATGTGCGTGCATCCTCTACAAGTGGTTGTGCTTTTGTGTACTTTACTGTACAGTACTGTATAGAGTACAGTAGTACAGTATCTTTATTTCAAGCCCAGGATGTCCGGAAGCAAGCGTAAAAGCAGTGATGATGTAGCTGGTACTACTGTACTTTTCAAGGTAATGTACTGTAAGATTAAAAATGTTTTCTTTATTTTTTGTGTTTGTTTTTTATGTATTATTTGTGTGAAAAAGTATTATAAACCTATTACAGTACAGTACTATAGAGCCGACTGTGTTAGTTGGGTATGTAGGCTAACTTTGTTGAACTTACAAACAAATTGGACTGTGAATGTGCTCTCAGAATGAACTTATTTGTATGTAGGGGACTTATTGTATTCTGTTTACCTTGATGAACCACCCACATGTTTGGTGCCCACGGAGGATACATCCTTTCAATTCCTAAGGTGTTTGCTGAGTTGCGGGCAATCTCCAAACAGAGGAGTAGAGTCGCTGTAGCCTTTCTTCATGGTTGGCCGCTGGAACCTCGCTCACTTTTGTTTGTCAGCATCCACTCAGTTGATGTTTCCCAAGAAGTGCTGATTTTACCTGTTTCCAAATTGGAAATGCATATTTAAACCATTCCGTTCTGGCAAACGGGAAACATCCGTTTGCTTTGGGCACAGTGGGGGTGAGTTGCAAGTCCTTGCTTGTCTTGTCAGTGAAGCATTTATTTGCTACTATCAGATTTTATCACTATCCAATTTTAATTCAAGGGCAGAACTAAAAATGTGTGTGTGTGTGTGTGTGTGTGGATGTGTGTGTGGACGTGTGCACGTTGTGCTCCGAGCCTGTGTGCTATTCAGTACGTGGGAAGGGAAAAAGGCAATAAGAAATTGATACCCTCCTCCAGCTTTAGTCACTCTTAAGCAAAATGTTCTAGGAAGAAAATCAACATTTAATATGTTGACATTTTTCTGAAGAAATGTTTTAAAAACTTTGCTATGCATCGGAATCTTCTATAGATCCTTTTTAAAATGTAGTTGCCTGAGTACCACTAGTAGAGACTTTGATTATGTAGTTCTAGGTTGTGGGCTAAGCATCTGTATTTTTAATGAACTGTTTAAGTGATTCTGAGACCACAACCTGAGTTGAGAATGACTGTTTTAAGATTGACAGTAGAGAAACATTTTTTTTTTCTCTTAAATAAAAAAACAAACAAAAAACCCATTGAGGTGAGGGGTTTTTAATAAATAGCCAAGTTTGGTTCTTTAGATAGGAGGCACTCTTCCCACTGTGCCAAAATTGTCTTTTCATTTCTTTTGAAATATGTAAGGTTATTTTATACTTCTATGTTGCCTTTCTTCAAAGGCACCTGAAGCACTTTATAAGCATGAATCCCCACAGCACCTCAGTGAGGTCGGTAAATAGTGTTTTTCCAGGCAGTAAACCTGGAGTGCGGGGAATTTCATAAGTGTGTGAATCCTATTCAATAACCCAATAATGGGGCTCCAAAGCACCTTGGACTTCTGCTCCATATTCAGACTCCTGGAAACTTTTCTATGTCTCACTCTTTAGTCACTGTCAAGGTTAGTAAGTAAAATAAATAGCATTCAAAAAAATGAAAGGAGATGTTTTTGTGATAAAAGTTTCTTTTTGCCAATATCATGTTCGGGAAATCCAATAACCTTTTCTTAACTTTTTTTTTTTTTTCGGTACGTGGGCCTCTCACCGCTGTGACCTCTTCCGTTGCGGAGCACAGGCTCCGGATGTGCAGGCCCAGCGGCCATGGCCCACGGGCCCAGCCACTCCGCGGCATGTG